AACAAACAAAAGCCCAGGGCCAGACGGCTTCCCGGGGGAATTCTACCAAACATTGAAAGAAGAACTAATTCCTATTCTCCTGAAACTGTTCCAAAAAATAGAAATGGGAGGAAAACTTCCAAACTCATTTTATGAGGCCAGCATCACCTTGATCCCAAAACCAGACAAGGATCCCATCAAAAAAGAGAACTACAGACCAATATCCTTGATGAACACAGATGCAAAAATTCTCGTCAAAATACCAGCCAATAGGATTCAACAGTACATTAAAAGGATTATTCACCACGACCAAGTGGGATTTATTCCAGGGCTGCAAGGTTGGTTCAACATCCGCAAATCAATCAATGTGATACAACACATTAATAAAAGAAAGAACAAGAACCATATGATACTCTCCATAGATGCTGAAAAAGCATTTGACAAAGTACAGCATCCCTTCCTGATCAAAACTCTTCAAAGTGTAGGGATAGAGGGCACATACCTCAATATTATCAAAGCCATCTATGAAAAACCCACCGCAAATATCATTCTCAATGGAGAAAAACTGAAAGCTTTTCCGCTAAGGTCAGGAACACGGCAGGGATGTCCGTTATCACCACTGCTATTCAACATAGTACTAGAAGTCCTAGCCTCAGCAATCAGACAACAAAAGGAAATTAAAGGCATCCAAATTGGCAAAGAAGAAGTCAAACTATCACTCTTCGCAGATGATATGATCCTATATGTGGAAAACCCAAAAGACTCCACTCCAAAACTGCTAGAACTTGTACAGGAATTCAGTCAAGTGTCAGGATATAAAATCAATGCACAGAAATCAGTTGCATTTCTCTACACCAACAACGAGACAGAAGAAAGAGAAATTAAGGAGTCAATCCCATTTACAATTGCACCCAAAACTATAAGATACCTAGGAATAAACCTCACCAAAGAGACTAAGAATCTATACACAGAAAACTATAAAGTACTCATGAAAGAAATTGAGGAAGACACAAAGAAATGGAAAAATGTTCCATGCTCCTGGATTGGAAGAATAAATATTGTGAAAATGTGTATGCTACCTAAAGCAATCTACACATTTAATGCAATTCCTATGAAAGTACCATCCATTTTTTTCAAAGAAATGGAACAAATAATCCTAAAATTTATATGGAACCAGAAAAGACCTCAAATAGCCAAAGGAATATTGAAAAAGAAAGCCAAAGTTGGTGGCATCACAATCCCGGACTTCAAGCTGTATTACAAAGCGGTCATCATCATGACAGCATGGTACTGGCACAAAAACAGACACATAGATCAATGGAACAGAATAGAGAGCCCAGAAATAGACCCTCAACTCTATGATCAACTAATCTTCGACAAAGCAGGAAAGAATGTCCAATGGAAAAAAGACAGCCTCTTCAATAAATGGTGTTGGGAAAATTGGACAGCCACATGCAGAAAAATGAAATTGGATCATTTCCTTACACCACACACGAAAATAGACTCAAAATGGGTGAAGGACCTCAATGTGAGAAAGGAATCCATCAAAATCCTTGAGGAGAACACAGGCAGCAACCTCTTCAACCTCAGCCGCAGCAACATCTTCCTAGGAACATCGCCAAAGGCAAGGGAAGCAAGGGCAAAAATGAACTAACTATTGGGATTTCATCAAGATCAAAAGCTTTTGCACAGCAAAGGAAACAGTTAACAAAACCAAAAGACAACTGACAGAATGGGAGAAGATATTTGCAAACGACATATCAGATAAAGGGCTAGTGTCCAAAATCTATAAAGAACTTAGCAAACTCAACACCCAAAGAACAAATAATCCAATCAAGAAATGGGCAGAAGACATGAAAAGACATTTCTGCAAAGAAGACATCCAGATGGCCCACAGACACATGAAAAAGTGCTCCACATCACTCGGCATCAGGGAAATACAAATCAAAACCACAATGAGATATCACCTCACACCAGTCAGAATGGCTAAAATTAACAAGTCAGGAAATGACAGATGCTGGCGAGGATGCGGAGAAAGGGGAACCCTCCTACACTGTTGGTGGGAACGCAAGCTGGTGCAACCACTCTGGAAAACAGCATGGAGGTTCCTCAAAATGTTGAAAATAGAACTACCCTATGACCCAGCAATTGCACTGCTGGGTATTTACCCTAAAGATACAAACGTAGTGATCCGAAGGGGCACGTGAACCTGAATGTTTATAGCAGCAATGTCTACAATAGCCAAACTATGGAAAGAACCTAGATGCCCATCAACAGACGAATGGATAAAGAAGATGTGGTATATATACATAATGGAATACTATGCAGCCATCAAAAGAAATGAAATCTTGCCATTTGCGACGACGTGGATGGAACTGTAGGGTATCATGCTTAGCGAAATCAGTCAATCGGAGAAAGACAACTATCATATGATCTCTCTGATATGAGGGAGAGGAGATGCAACATGGGGGGTTAAGGGGGTAGGAGAAGAGTAAATGAAACAAGATGGGATTGGGAGGGAGACAAACCATAAGTGACTCTCAATCTCACAAAAAAAACTGAGGGTTGATGGGGGGAGGGGGGTTGGGAGAGGGGGGGTGGGGTTATGGACATTGGGGAGGGTATGTGCTATGGTGAGTGCTGTGAAGTGTGTAAACCTGGCGATTCACAGACCTGTACCCCTGGGATAAAAATATATTATATGTTTATAAAACATAAAATTTAAATTAAAAAAAAAAAAAAAAGACCAGCTCAAGGTGGTCTTGAGGGCAAACGGGATAAAGAATGTATAATAACATTGGGGAGGGTATGTGCTATGGTGAGTGCTGTGAAGTGTGTAAATCTGGCAATTCACAGACCTGTACCCCTGGGGATAAAAATACATTATATGTTTAGGGAAAAAAAAAAAAAAAAAGAATGTATAATAGACAAAGGGAGTCATAATACTAACTACAGCCTCATGAACAGTTACCAAAATAAGAATCCCGGTAGCCATGACTACTTCTTTGATTGTACCTGTATATTTTCTGTAAGTAACAATATTTTTGTTCCTCCATACCTCCTTTGCTGTAAATACATGAATTTTTTATAGCAGTGAACTTTATACTTTGTCTTTACATCAAAAATATTCAGCTGAGGGGCGCCTGGGTGGCTCAGTGGTTAAAGCCTCTGCCTTCGGCTCAGGTCATGGTCCCGGGGTCCTGGGATCGAGCCTCACGTCAGGCTCTCTGCTCAGCAGGGAGCCTGCCTCCTCCTCTCTCTCTCTCTGCCTGCCTCTCTGCCTGCTTGTGATCTGTCTGTCAAATAAATAAAAATCTTTAAAAAAAAAAAATTCAGTTGAGAATGTGAATACTAAGGGGTAATTAATATTGCACAGTTACTGATACTACAGGCCACTGCCCAGAGATGGCTATGATAACTGGCACTGCCCCATCTTGGCATAAGGGTAGGAGTACTTCATTATAGCAAAGGTAACTGGCTTGGTTTTGTATACCCCTAGGTTAAAAATTACTTTTGTATTTCTAAAACATTATAAGCAAACAAAAGAAACAAAAACAAGAATACACAACAGAAACCATGTGTGACCAGCAAAGCTTAAAATGGTTACCATAAGGTCCCCCTTAACAGACAGTGGGCTGAAACCTCAATTTTACCAAGAATTGCATCTTTTAAAGGGAAACTATGCAGTTATTGCTGTCATTTGAACTTAAAAACTGTGTGGATACAGAGAGTAGTCAAAAGAATAGGCAGTGCTGTGTATTAAGCTACTTTTTGTCAGCTCCAAACCCACCTAGACTGTTGGGTGATGATGGGGCTTGTGCAAAAGATATGTGCAAATTACATAATCCTTTGTCAGCAGATTTCTGGTTAGCATCCAGCACAGGAGGCTGGAAGGCTGGAGGAGGACAACTACCTTGTTCTTTCCTCTTTGTTTCCAGCCTATCAGCTCTGCCTGGGCCTCACCCTTAACCCTGATGGAAGCAGTTGATTCCATTCTCCAGCTTTTACTGCCACACTTCCAGAACCAACCTTGCTTGCAACCTCTCAGAGGTACCAGTACTGACAGCAGTGTCTACTCCTCCAAGGTGTGATGAGGCCCAGCTCCAAGGGGCCCTTCCCCCAAGCTTTTAGGTTCTAAAAACTCCAAATTCTTCCCTGTGTCACTCCAGTCCTAGAAGGAGCAGCAACTTTTCTGCAATTACATCTGTCTTCCATGCCCGTGTTTTTTAATTCTTCAACCTTTTTGCCTAATTTCTTAAATTATTTCTGTTGACATACCTACTATCTACCAAATGGGCCCTGACTAATAAAGCAACTTTTCAATAATATTTGGTAAGTAATACTAGGTACTGTATTAAGCACTGGGGTTATGGCAATGAGATAGCTATTGACCCTGACCTTCATGTTTTCATTATATTTATAATAAGTACTATAAAATGTCATGGCCTTCCAACAAGGAGGCTGTTAAGAGATACATTATATTTTAAAGCCTAGAATTTGGGGGTCTTTTATAGGGAGCTTTAGACTTTGGAATGTTAAAAGATTATGAGCAAAAAAAAAAAGATATGACAGACCTATACTTCAGAAAGATTAACCCAGCAGCAGCTTAGTGCTGTTTGCTATAAGAAGTTACTAGAGAAAATTTAAGAGATGACTGTGATAATCTAGGTTAGAAGTATAGAAACCCAGAAGAGGGTTACAGTAGGACTGGAATGGATAAAGTGAATACAAGAAACATGGGGAGGACAGAATCACTAGGTCTTAGTAACTGACTAAATGCAGAAGACTAAGGAGAATGGACTAGTCCTAATAAATCTTTAACTCCTAATAAATTAGAAGAGTAGTAAAAGGTTAAAAGAAAGTAAATCATTAACAAGTGATATCCAGAAGGCAGTCTAAAATTAGAAAAGAGAGAGCAATGCTAAAATTATAAATTTGTCAGTTAGTCATGAAGAGGAAAGCTTTTGTCTATGTCTAAAATATGATTTTATACAATTCAAAATTAAGTACAGTATACGTACCCCCTGAACTGGTGCTCCAGGGACCACGGCCATATTTGCACGGATTTCCTCTTCATTTAAACTCAGGCCCATGTACTGGGAGAGCTCCGGATACAATTTAGGATAGAGATCTAATATGAATGAATTAAAAATTAGAATATTTAAAATGAACACTGTTGTTATTATGGGCTTCTATTTGTGTTAAAAAATTACATTTATTTTATAAAAGCTAGAATGAATCTAAATAAGCAATTTGGAAAATCATCTCCTTATCTTAGTAATGGTAATTAGAAATCCGAAATACAGAAAGTTTCGTCAAGATGGAAATAATTCTTCCAAATAAATTATCTTGCCTTTCTTTTTTCCTAAAATAAACCTATTTTGATTAGGAATTTCATAAGCATACCACTGATTCTCCACCTCAGATCTGACTAAAATGTTTATTGTCAAGTCAGCAACTTTACAACTCATTTAATAAATGCTGCTATGAAATGATTCCTCTGAACTACAATAAAAAAAAAAAATCAAGGCTTGTAAAAGTGTTTATATTTAGTATCTTACCATTTTAAAAAAAGTTAACCACATTCCAATGAAATCTTAGAAACAGTATATTTAAATATTAACAGTACTTAACTTAGTAGCACAGTTATGTACTATTTCCAAATGTTCTTTTTTACATGATTTGTGACTTAAAATGAATTTTCTAAAAGAATGTTATCAATAGTTATATCTGGCTATAAAATCCTATTTAATACTCTTTTTATCTTAAGTCATATTATTTAGGGGCTCTGTCCTAAATCCCTATAAACTTAGAAGGAAAAGGAACCAACGAGAAGTATATGGAGACCTAATAAAGATTCCAGAATTTGGGAAGCTCCCCCAGAGGAGGTGATTGCAAACTTCAAAACCCACCCTCACCCCACAATGATGGAGGACAGTTCAGAAGTTCAAGAGCAGTAGCATGGGGCACAGTTCATATACACGGTTTCTTCATAAATCAATCAGTCTAAGTTAGGGACTTATGAGGGTTGGTATTTAACTGAATTCACTTAATTCTGATTAAGTTATAAAAACCTATCTTCATATTCATAGTTCATTTTCTTGATTAAAGGGTTTTTTTTTAAGTAAACATTTTTTTCTATTACTAGAACTTTTAACCACATATTTTATGCTGCAGGTTAAAAAAACCTTGGATTCCCTATTTTAGTAAAAGAAGACTTAAATATTTTCAGTTCAAGAATGAACCCAAAATATAAACCTACTTCCATCTTGAGAGATGGGAGCAGAAGCTTCAGACAAAATTGCTGGGTTGCCAGGGTTTGCGGAAAAGGCAGTTTGAGCCTGAAAAAGAAAAGAAGAAAATTCTAACAATGCTATATATATATATACTTACTTAAAAGTCTTATATAATTTGTAAGTTAAGTTTAGTACTTTTTTTTTTTAAAGATTTTATTTATTTATCTGACAGCCAGAGATCACAAGTGGACAGAGAGGCAAGCAGGGAGAGAGAGAAAGGGAAACAGGCTCCCCGCTGAGCAGAGAGCCCAATGTAGGGCTACATCCTAGGACCCTGAGATCATGACCTGAGCTGAAGGCAGAGGCTTAACCCACTGAGCCACCCAAGCGCCCCAAATAAAATCTTTAAAAAAAAAAAAAAAAAAAATGCTACTCATGCTCAAGTATGCCAGGAACTCCCCTCAGGCTGCCTTCATAGCCTATGTCACGATAAGTATTCCAGGACAAAATCCTTTTTCCTATACGGATAGGTCTGACTTTCTAAAATAGCCATGTATCATTTAGAGACAAGATTGGTTGTATGGCCAATCTCTATTATCACTTTTTACTTAATAGGAAATATGTGGATCACATAATGAAGTTTATACTTACGCCTTAGCCTAGCCCTGAAATTAATGACAAGAGTAGTCTCAAAGATGCCTGGAGTGATGTATGCTTAATTTAAGTAAGTACAGCCTATAAAAGCATTGGATTCTACTTCCCTCATTGGATTTTAAATGTTCTGATATGCTTGGTATTACATCATACTTAAGTATTTATTGTTTTACAATTTGTCACATTCTAAATTGAAATAAAATGCAATGAAAATCTCTGTAATTTTAAATAATAGTTTACAAACTCAAAGTACACTTTCACCAAATATCAACTAAAAGGAGCTAGGAGCCAGTAGATTACTTCTTGGATAATCTCTAAGAAAAAAAACAAACAAACAAACAAAAAAAAACACCGTTCACTCAAAGGAAATAACTATCAAGCCATGAAAAGACATGGAGGAAACTTCAATGCATATTATTAAGTGAAAGAAACCAATCTGAAAAGCCTGAATATAGTGTGATTCCAAATGTATGACATTTTGGAAAAGGCAAACTACAGAGAGAGTAAAAAGATCAGCAGTTGCCAGAGATTACTGAGTAAAGAGGGAGGGAAAAATAGACAAGAAATTTTAGGGCAGTATTCTGTAATAGACTTCTATATGAAACTACATTCTATACAGTACTACAATGGTGTCTATATGTCATTACACATTTGTCAAAACACCACCAAGTATATAACACCAAGAGTGAACCCTAATGTCAACTATCGACTTTGGTAATAACATGTTAATGTATGTTAATCAACAGTAACAAATGCACCACTCAGGTGAGACTACTAAGAGTGGAGGAGGATGTACTGTGTGTATTTGTTGGGGAAGGGGCAATTAAGATGTAAAGTCTTTGTGCCTTCCATTCAATTTTGCTATGAACCTAAAACTGCTTTAAAAAATAGAATGTAGGGTGCCTGGTGGCTCAGTCATTAAGCATCTGCCTTTGGCTCAGGTCATGATCCTAGGGTCCTGTGATCGAGCCCCACAGGGCTCCCTGCTCAGCGGGAAGCCTGCTTCTCCCCCTCCCACTCCCCTTGCTTGTGTTCCCTCCCTTGCTGTGTCTCTGTCAAATAAATACATAAAACCTTTAAAAAAAATAAACAAATAAATAAATAACAATGTAGTGAGGCACCTGGATAATGCAGTGGGTTAAGTGCCTGACTCGCTTTCATCTCAGGTTATACATGACCTCAGGGTTGTGAAATCAAGCCCCGAGTCCGGCTCTGCACTCAGTGTATAGTCTGCTTAAGATTCTCTCTCCCTCTACTTCTGCCTCTCCCCTGCTCACTCTCCTCTCTAGAATAAAAAAAATAATAAAATGTATTAATTTTTTAAATTGTTCCTTTTTACATTGGTTATTATTTTCTATTATTTCACTCGTTGCTTTTATTCTTGTACAACAATACTGAAGTAAGAATACTATATATAGAAAGCTCTGTAATAGTCATATATTTATTATGTAATCTGTAGTAAAAGTAAAACAGAAAAGAAGATGGTACATCAAGGAATTAAAGACTCTATGTCATTAAATGTAGCATATTATTTCAGACCTACGTGGAATCTCAAAGTACTTAAAAAAAAAAAAAAAAAAAAAGGTAATGAGGTCCCCCAAGAAGCACACAGTTACTGCCAGAGCCTGTGTGTGGAGCCATGCTCATGGTCTTAGGAGACTAGTAAAGACTGGGTCTCTGTTACATCGCTGTTTCTTTTTAAGATTTTATTATTTAGTTGACAGAGAGAGAGAGACAGAGAGCAAGAGCGAGCACAAGCAGGGAGAGTGGCGGACAAAGGAAGAGGAAGAAGCAGGCTCCTCAGGGAGCTAGGAGCCCAATGCAGGGCTCAATCCCAGGAATCATAACCTGAGCTTAAGTCAGATGCTAAACAGACTGAGCCACCCAGGTGACACTACATCACTGTTTCTTAAAAGCTTATTTTATACAGGTGTAACTACCACAGACTTCTGTTAAGGATTCATAACGGATAGAGATTCAGGGATTTTATGATGCTAAAAGCAACAGCCTAATGCCTTTGTAAAATAATTTACAAAATAGGAGAACTGCCAGTTCACTGCTGCAACTTTGCTGTGGTGTAACTGGGACTCAATCCCAGGACCCTGAGATCACAACCTGAGCTGAAGGCAGATGCTTAATAGTTCAATTCTATAAAAACTAACAAAAAAGAATGAAAACAGATTAGTCATTCATTCACATCTGTCTGCAAATCCTTCTTATTTATTGCTCTGCTGTCATACTGATAGCTTGTTATTCATGAAGGCAACATATTTTAGATAAAAGCTTTTTAAAAACAAAGTATGTGTGTTCAGATGAACTTTGTAGAAATAAAAACCCCATGAGAAAAATACTGACAAAATACTAAAGAAAGAATAGAACATTTAAGGTAACTGAACAAACCCCTTAACACTGAAGCATCAAAGCCTTTACCAGAGGAACAGATTTCAGAGATTTTACAAACCACATTTTAATATCCTCAGTGGATTTATGATGTAGAATATGTGTTCATCATGATCTCCCCCCATATTTACCCAATCACTGTTATATGTAACAATTCCACTATTATTGCTGGGGGTTTTCACCCTAGAAAGGCCAACATTTTGCCTGAAAGACACTTTTATACTTGACATTGCTTAAGACTTATCACAAGTTTGTAATAAATTTTTATGCCCATTAAATAATTATTAAGAAGTAAATCTTTACTTAGAGTACACTAGGGCCAAGGCCCCAAGTAAAAGGGTTCTCAGTGTAAGCAGCTTTGAAGTATTACAAATTATCCCCAGCTAAACAGAATAAAAACTTACAAAACAGCCAGACTTGACCCCTATTCCCAAACTTTCTTAAGCAGAAGCACCTATTTTCAAAGCTAATACTTACTCTAAGGACTACAAAAAAATTTTTGACTTCATTAAATTAGAAACACTGTAATACCTAACATTTAGACATTAAGAGGATGAATACATGAACTGTCTGCTACTTACACCTAAAAGAAAATAAATTACTTCGCTTTCATTGTGCATTTATACTTCAAAGAGCATTTCTGTAATTTTTAACTTCAAAGTAAAGGCAAAGAATTATTTTTAAAGATAGGTCCTATCTGAAAGAACAATGTACTAATTTTAAACAAAACTATCACTATCTAGAGAGTTGAAGTATATTTTACCAACTCAAATATATGGTATTTAATTTAAATTTTAGTCTTAAAATCAATCTTTGTTGAAAGAGGTTAAGTACAGTTTTAAAGAAATAATATCCCAAGTCCATTAATTCAGTGACAAAAAAAAATTTGTAACTTTTCTGTAATTTTAGTCTGCAATCAATGAACTGAAAAATGTATAAATGTAAAAATGGATACATCTGCTATTTAAGTTCTTTGCTTCACTTCATCTATAAGCACAATGTAGGACCCTATATATTGAAGAAAAGTACATAAACAACTTGAACATACCTGAATAACTTTGTCTACCTTCAGGTCTTCAAGAGATGGGTACAGAGACATTTTTGCAGGATTTTTCTAAAGAAAAAAAAAAAAAAATCCTGTAACTCTAATTTCATTGAAAAAAAAAGATTTTGTTTTTAAGATTTTATTTGTCAGAGAGCGCATGCACACAAACAGGGAGAGCTGCAGGCAGAGGGAGAAGCAGGCTCCCTGCTGAGCAAGGAGCTAGATGTGGAAATGAATCCCACGACCTTGGGATCATGACCTGAACCCAAGACAGACGCTTAACCAACTGAGCCACCAAGGCATCCCTGAAATTTAAGTAATATGTGTAAAACAGCAAAACATATAAACATCTATAAATTTTTAACACATTAAGAAACACTTAATTGCAAAACACGGAAAAATATGAACATCTAGCCTATACTAAAAACTGATTACTGGTTACCAAACTACATCCCCCTTCCTTACTACTACTATCAAACTATATTCACTGAAGATCTTAAATTTCCCTTCAAGGAAAAGTCCCTTAATTTCAAAAGTTTAAAAAATCAAATAGAACAATTATGTGACTTGCCTAGCTTACACAAGTGCTTGGTAAATGAGAAAGCATTATATCCAAACAAAAACCTATAAGGGCTCCTAGACCATATCTATGAAATAAACACACACACACACACACACACACACACACACACACACACACACACACATATATTCTTATATATGTATTTAGAAAAAACAATATACACTAATCACTAACAGTAATTTTATCTTTAGGACACATTAATGATACAGATAATAAAGGACTGAGGAATAAGATGGAAATTATTACATTTTAAACATTTCTATACTGTTCAGTGTTTTCTAATGACCACTGGCTTTTGTAATAATGTAAGAATTTAAAACAAAGTTCTCTAAAAGTATCACAAGGATATATATTTGAAAATTTTGAGATGAGTATCTGGTACTTTCTTTAAACCCAACAAAACAATATATACCAAAACTGGCATAGCATAGGTATATCAGAGGTTCTTGAGCTGGCTATCAATTTATTACCTATCATCTCCAAATCCACACATTACTGGGGCCTCTGCAAATGGAACAGGGCGTTTTAAATAATGCTCTGTCGCCAGCTAGCGGAGGCTGAACTTCGTCAGGGTAGGGAGCTGGAGATACACTGGAGGAGAAAAGGTTTTTCATTCCAGTTTCCAGTATACCACTCCAGCCAGCCTCCTGAAGAACCTGCTTCTCTAGCACCTTGCTCCTGGCAGGAAGCAGCTTCTTAAGAACCCAACTCCTTCAGTCCACAAAACCAACACCAACCCCAGCACTGTTCAGCAGCTTCTCAGCATGGTGCCACCTGCAAGGCATCTCCCCATGTGTAGCTTTCCCTAACACTACCCTCATGTGCAGCAAGTTCCAAGGTGCAGCACCTTCCTGTAACTTCCACAAGCACTCCACAGGGAGATTTCCAGTAAGTTTGGTTTTGAGAAACCAACTTCATTATCCACTGAGCAACAGCTGCACTCTCCAACAAGGCCTGTGCTGCCAGGCATGGGAAGAGGGCAGCCTCTTCTTGGGGCACTCTAACTCACCCCGAGGTTAGTAGATACTTATTAAATCTGCTCTTCCTGTATTCATTAAAGTTCTTTTTACCTACTTTACTTTTTACAATTCTTATTCCTTTAATCTTGTTATAGTTAATAATACCATACATTAAATTTTTTCACTGTTTAAATAACTATATGGCTTCTGTCTCTTGGTTGAATGCTGAGTAACAATACTTTTTAAAAAGTTTATGTACTTTGGGGCACCTGGGTGGCACAGTCAGTTAAGCATCCAACTCTTGGTTTTGGCTCAGGTCATGATCTCAGGGGTCTAGACATCAAGCCCCACATCAGCTCAGAGCTCAGTGCAGGATGCTTGAGATTCTCTCTGCCTCTCCCTCTGCCCCACCCCACCCCCCACCCATGAGCGTGCTCACTCTCTTTAATAAATAAATCTTTAAGAACTCTTAAGAAATCTTAAGAAAAAAATCTTAAGGAAAAATGTATATACTTTGCACACCAAAAATTCACTTTTTTAAAGTATACAATTCTACAGTTTTAATAGATCTGCAGTTGTGCAGCCATCCCTACCATCTAATATTAGAACATTTCTATTACCCTTCCCCCCAAAACTCCATGCTTATCCATTCTCCCCTCCCTCCAGCTCCAGACAACTAAAAATCTATTTTCTGATTCTTGATTTGCCTATTCTGGATATTTAATCAAGAATCACAGAATATGAGGACTCTCCTATCTGTTTCTTTTTCACTTAACGTTAACACCTTCAAAGTTCATTCATGCTACAGCATGTACCAGTACTCCATTCCTTTTTATGACTGACAAACATTCCACACTATGGACATGCTACATTTTCGGTATCCATTTATCAGTCACTAACATTTTGGGTTTTCACACTTTTTGACTATTAAGGATAATGCTACTAATGATGCTAATGAGCATTTACATCCAAGTGTTTATGTAAACACATACATGTTTAATTCTCTTGGTATTCAGCTAAGAGTAGAGTTGCTGGGTCACATGGTAACTCTGTTTCACTTTTTGAGGAACTGCCAAACTGGGTTCCAAAATAACTGTTCCACTTTACATTCCCACCAGCAGCATGTAAGGGAGAGTTCCAATTTCTCCACATCTTGCCAATACTTGCTATTATCTTTTTTATTATAGCCACCTTCCTGTGAAGCAGCATCCCACTGCAGTTCTGATTTGTATTTCTCTAATAGCCAATGATGTTCAGCACCTTTTCATCTGCTTATTGGCCATCTGTAGATCTTTGGAAAAATGTCAATTCAAATTAATTGTCTGAGTTACTAATTTTTCTTTTCTTTCTCTTTTCTTTTTTTTTTTTTTTTTAATTTTCTTGGGTTAGACACTTGAATAAAAATGCCAAATAAAAATGGCCCAATAAAGGGGTGCTTGGGTGTCTCAGTCAGTTAAGTGTCTGCTTTCCACTCAGGTCATGATCTTAGGGTCCTGGGATTGTCCCCACATCAGGCCTGAAACTATTTCTCCCTCTCCCTGCCCACCCTACTCATGTTCTCACCCTGCCTTTCTCTCTCAAAGAAATAAAATAAACCTTTAAAAAAAAAAAATGGCCTCATACAGTTTTTAAGGAGAACATAGGGCTTGTATCTGTGAATAAAATGCAAATTCATGAGAAAGCACAATAAGAAATTGTTTAATTCTATTAATCCAGGGAAACAAAATACACTACCTTTTCTCTGTCTCAAAAAAATCATTAAGCTTCCTTCTTAAACATGTTTTATTTACATTTCCAATCATTTTATCAACATCATAAAATCATTTTAAATTCACTGGAATAAATGTTGACTTTTAATCTAGTACTATCACTATTTTTGGTTTCTACTTCTAGTTCTGCCACTGGCTACCTATAAGATCCCCTTTTCCTTATGAAAAAGGAACCGGATGAGTGGTAAATTTCAAAACTCAGCAGTTTTCTCAAACATTTTCCTCATAGAAGCTTTCCCTTAAACAAATATTAACCAAAATTGTCTGAACAACTCTTAGCTCACTCATTCCCCAGAAGTTACTTCATACTCACAAATACTCAAACTTAATCCCAGGAAAGAAATAGGCTTTTCAGACATTCTTTAAATAACAAATATAACCCCACCTTATGATAAGGATTCAGTTGCAGGTTTGCTCTAAGTATGTGACCTTAATTAACTCATCATTCTTCTAAAATATAAAGGATTTCTCAATGATTTTACTTCACAAACTATTTTTATGGCTTCATTTCACATCATTTCTTTCTAAGCATTACAACATTCTAGCCACAAACTACTTGCTATTTCCCACACTGGTGGAGTTCTTCTTTGCCCTGCATCTGCAAAAACTTGCTTTCTCTTCCTGGAATGTACTTCGAAGACTTCTCTCAAAATCTCAGTCAAGAGCCACTTCTGTAAGGATACCTCTAATGACCTCAGTCTAACATTGTTTCTCTCACTTCAGAAGTTTTATTTGCCTTTTATTATATAGTGAGTTTCTCTGCTCTTGAGATCAAGGCCTTAATTTCTTATTTATCTAGCATGATTCCTTATTGTAAAAGAAGTCAAACGTTTGTTAAATTTTGACCAATATTATCAAAATAGCAGTAAACAAGATATATTCAAACATTCATTGAAAAGTTCAAATTTTTAAAATCTTTCATGTCTATGTCTTTGAACACAAACTGTTCAAAGCTTTCAGGGAGAATAATAAATTTCTTGTATTATTTTTCTGAAGGGGTCCATTAACTTATATGAGTTAATCTTTGATCTAATGTCAAAAATAATTAGCCCTTTTTGAAGAACTACCAAACTACCTTTGAAAAATCCTTTCAAGTATGATTGGAATTTCAGAATGACCATTAATGAGACTTAAGGGGATTGTGAAAATAATTCTGTTACATCAGTATGTGAATTTCTCATTTTACTTTCACTTGAAACTCCTCTCCCATGCTATTGTTGTGCTGACTATAGAATTTTGTTTCTAGGCCTCTCCTTCAGCTAAGAATCAATAACAAGGTATAGATCCTACTGACCCTGAGATTAGTAGGCAAAATGTCTTGCCATCTACTCTACCAGCGTTTAGCACAACATTCCTAATAGCTTTGTTTCACTGGTTTAATTCCTGGAAAGAACTGGTATCTCTACTTACTCCTAGCCCAGGTTTGGCCCACTCTAAACTCTTTGCAACCTCACAGACTCTCAACTCTCTCCATGCATAATGAAAGGTCTCTGCACCCAATGCATCCCTAGGCCTTAGAAAATAACCCCCAAATTAGTTTCTACTAAGAGGTTTCTCAGGGCTCGGAATATTTACAGGGTTTCTTTAGAACATCTAAAAATAAAAAATACCTGACTATTCTGCCTCAGTATCAACTTTCCCATTTGACTCTCCATCTCCTCAAGGTAATGTCAGGGCAGCTTCTTTGGAGTCTTTATGTACGTACAGACTAAAGGTTTCTGTAACTCAAATACCGTATGTAATATTTTGGAACATCTA